TGTTAGTCCCTGATCCCCGTTTCTTCCAGTCTCCTTCCTTCATTCTAATTCTCTTCCTTCACCTTGCTACCCTTTCTTGTTCTTCATCACAAGAGAAATGACAACAGTCTCTGTAGATGAGACCAATGCGCTCCTCTCTCTTTGTACAATATTGTTTGTATTTTATGTACAGCCTTAGATCTCTTGGCCTCACCTGGCCCTTAGTCCCTTGGCCATCAGGTACTAAGAGCTCTAGATACTTCCGCCACTGCTACTTCATCGTCTTGCATCTGAACTGCCCCTGGGAAGTCATCCCAGAACTTCCTCTACTGGACTTATCTTGGCAGAAACCCTGACCAGACTCTAGGGCATCCACCCAGACTCTGACTCCTCCCACGGCTTCCAGAATTTGAAGAGGAGCCAAGTAACAAGGCATAGACTTCCTCAGTAGGTATCTAAAGAGATCAGGGGATGCAGTTCCCCTTGAGCATAAACTATCCCCAAAGCAAGCAGAAATAGGAGGGTGTAAGTGCATCCATTCCTCAAATTCTTTCTTCTAATTGTCGGCACAACCTGTCCAGAGCTCTCTGTGAGGCACAGGCCTCAGTTACACTCAGGGGAGCAGTGTCCTGCCCAGCAAAGCATCACCCTGCTTTGCTTCGTTTCGTTTCATTTTGTTTTTCTCCCATTCCTTCACGTCTCACTTCCCTTTTCCCCTCATTCTGACTTCTCTGGGATTGAATCTCCCAATAACACCTTGGCATTTAATACTTACACAGTTGTCAGTGTTCAAGGGAACCGTGCTGAGATACCTGTGGACTACAGTTCTCAGAATCTCTTGCCAACCGTCTTCTGGGCAGGTTTGGCAAAAGTAGAATGATTTAATGGGTGACTGAAGAGAAAGAAAAAGAGAATCCAAGGTACCCTCATCCTCTCCACTTTACAGAACATCTCAGGTAGAGGCTGAGTTTTTCCTTGATGTGAGAAATGGATTCCCAGCATTACTCGTCTTTGAGTTGCTTTCTTATATTATAATCCATGCATTGAACTGCATAAAGCAATCTCTATTCTCCCTCACTAGATCCTCATGAAATATACAAGAATAAAAATTTAATTTTAGTTAACTGTATTTGTGGCATGATAGAAATAATTTTTTGCTTCCTTAAAATATAGATTTCTAAAAATAAGAAAATTGGTCTTTTAACTGCTTCAAATGAAAATTATCTGAAGAATGTTCTGGGGGTTATCAGAAAGGAGATCAAATTATTGTTTTAACATTTTAAATGACATTGATTTTTATGATGTGATAAAAACACAGTGCATCTTTAAGGAAAAATAAAAAGTGTTACTCTGAAAAACACAATACTATATGAATCTCCCATAAAACGCTTCCCCTCACTTCTAACACACTTACCCCATTCTGCTGAAAATCTTTATTCATGAGTGTCTTTTCATTGGCTGCCTTGATGTCCTGAATTGATTCAAATCTTCTACAGCAATGTCTATCCAATAAAATTATTACAAGGTGTCCTCAGCCACCTTTTTCACTATATCTGCCACCATGCCACATCTGGCCCCCCCCATGAGCCAAAATTGCCATGGAAAGTAGAAATTTTGAATCCGCTGGACATGGAGACAGCCACAGAAGCACAGCTAAAACCTGAAAGAGGACTCGCAGAACTTCAGAAAGTGGCAAGAAAGATAGGATAAGTGTGCTTAAAGTAAGGGGACTACTCTCAGGGGGATTAATTACAATGCGCCCTTTACTTTGATAAACTTTATTTTAAACATTCTCCATATGTTTTGATTATATCTCATGAGTAGATTTTTCTAAAAGCTATATTTCCCAGGTAATAAGAGAACAGGTCCTACAATCTCCTTGTGAGCTGCCTCTGTCCAGTCTCTGCAATGGTTACTGAGATCTGACTCTCAGCATCCTGGGCTTGGTAGGTGGCAAATGAGTGGTGTTAGAATTCAAGTGCTATTATTTAGTAAATGGGATTCGGGTTTCATTTGTTTCCGTACCTCCCGAGGTGCTTATGGGAAACACTCACCCCCCTTACCTTCACTCCAGGTGCTACTGAGAACTGGCACATTTTTCTCCTGCAGGGTATAAAATATTTCTAAAATCGTCCTGCTAGAGTTTTGCTTTTTTCTGGAGTGCTCTAATGGCTTAGCAATGAGTTTCAGGATCTCCATCAATAACACTGAATGGGTATAACACAAGCCTGCTGCCAGAAATACTTCAGTATCTCGGCAGAGCGATGAATGCAGTCAGCTTTGCCTCTGAAATTGGGGAGCAGAGGGGCCTCTCTCCTGTAATGCGCATGCGGAATACACATGCTATGTGAGCACTCATTCATGGCCTGCCAGCAGTCAGTGTAACAGGAGGAAACTGTGACAGGGAGCTGGATTACAGTGAATCCTTGGAACAACTTGTTTTGTTTTTTTTTTTATGCAGTTTTTTTCTGTATATCCTAAAAAACCAAACTTTATACTTTTATAAACTGTTTTGCAATAGATGCCTTCACAGTAGACTGTATGCCATCCACACCTGTACCAGAATGAAGGCCCAAGACTAATGTATGAAATCCTTTAGGTCAGAGAAGTACATGAGCCCAGAGTTCCTATGATCTCCCCACTATGTGACTTCCGCCTCAAGTGTGCTGGCTTTTTCCCCAATTAAAAAGACGATGTAAACAGAATCCAGGGGTCTGACATCTAATGGTAACAGTCACAGAGAAGCTCAGGGCTAATGGATTCTAGAGGACACTCTTGCATACCACCAGATGGCCTTGAATGAATGGACTCCACCTGGACATAAAGAATAGATGTTTCAGAAGAAGGAGGGCTATTAGTTCATGCACACTATGTCTGAAATTGCTCTTCTGCTACTCCAGTACTCCTATATGTATTGTTAACTAATGACGTTTCCGTGTTTCCTGAATTGTCCCACTCTACCTCAGCTATGTAATGACTTCCTTAGTCAAATATCCTCTTTATCACTGTATTAGTATGTTTTCTGTTTCTATAACAAAACAGAGATTGAGTGATTTACAAAGAATTGATTCATTTAGATCTCAGTTTTAGTGGCTGAAAGTCAAGAAGGGCAGCAGAATTTGTTTGGTTGCTAGAGTGTCCCTTGGGCCATATCATAAACTGGAGGAGAACAGGGCATATGTAGAAGATGCTAAGCATGTGTGGTGGACTCCATTTATAGCAACCAAACTCATGAGAATTAAATCGGTTTGTTGGGCCACAGAGGTTGATGCCACTATTGACCTACTTACCTCCCAAAAGGGTTCCACAGCTTCAGGGTTCCTCTCAACATCATCACAGCAAAGATAGAGCTCCCAACATATGAACTTTTAGGGCACATACTCAAGCCATGTCCAAACCATAGCATCCACAAACTCAGGGACTAAATGTGGCCACAGAAGGAGGCCTTTAGCACCTTGTCATAGTCATGGAATGGAGTGCACCTTGATTCATAAATTGTCACAACAATTATTCAATTCTTTTTCTTCAGAAAAGGCTCAAGATATTTAAAACTAGGCTGATTTGTCTCAAAATTTGTTACTTCCTCCAAGTGGCAGAAATAGTAAGATTTTGTTTAACAGGACAGTTCTCATCTATCAAAACCTGCTATTGGTTCCAAATCTTCCACAATTTTTCGAACATTAAGAAAGTCCTCTGCCAGCATCCACACCAAAACATACACACCATGAGATTAGATCGTTGCCCTCAGGGCCTTTGAGCATACTTAGAGCACCTCCTCTAAGGTCACCCTGCAGCTCCCAGGCAGAGACTGGAAAAGCAACATGGTGGCATGGTGAGAGGGCCAGAGCCTCCACAAGATCTACTCCAGCCCCAGCTGTGCAATGCAACATTTATGTGACAGCCTATGTGCTCCCCGAGATGAATCACAGGAAATTAGAGATGGGGAAGGGCCTATTAGTTCTTCTATTCCATACCCCTGCCAGCTCACAAGCCTCCCTTATGCCCCATTTCCTTCTCAGTTTGATTTTAAATAGCAAGAGACAGACAGAGCCGCTTCCAGGCCTCCTTCCTGGAGAATTCTTTCTAGCACAACCAGCAAACGTCCAATATTTGATGCTTACTTATTCTAATTGTATAGATACAGTGACGTTAGGGTTGCTCCTTTGGCCCAACTCACCCAGCAATGAAAAAGCCCTTAGATATCATTAGAAAGTAGGGACTCTCTGTGTTAGAAAAAAATCCATTTCATAAAAATCACAGAACTTGGTAGAGAAGAAAGGATGAGCAGAGCTCCTGTGTTACGTCATTTCAACTTCCTTTGTTTTAGTTATATTCTTATTTAGTATTGTTCAGTTTGCTTTTT